AGTTCAGTGCAACCTGCGCATCACTGACAACACCAGCAACAGAAGCTCAATCTTGAGCACGACCGCGCTCTTTGAAGTAGCGGCAGCTCATGGTCTTGAGAATAGGATGGAAATGCCGCATGCAAGCACAGAGTCTTGACCACAGCACAGTCCGATGCACGATCAAATGAGATAGAAACCCAACAACACATCCAGCCAGCATCGCAATGAAAGCCGGCAGGAAAGCAGCACTAAAGCATCTGCCGCAGAAACTCAAAAGACGGCTCAGAGCTAGGTTCCTGGATCGCAAGGAGATATTGGCCAAAGTCACGGAGTGCTTAGAGATCCCAGAAAATCAGGTTCGAATGATAGTTCAACTATTGACAAGGAAATTCACGGGTGATTTCGGGTGCCGACTCGGAGCTCGAAGCAGGCTGGACTAAAGGCGGTTGTGGCAGCATCTAAAGGAGAAAGGCTCGAAACTGAGACACAACAGACAATGGGCGAACGCATCAACACCCAACAGGGAAAGCATCCCAGGCACTCTGAGAGTTTGACGTTGACATTGATCTTCTGCATTGCCACCGGCCAGATTCCAGCAAGAAGCACAACATATTCACGGCCTCAGTGCAGAGCACAGATGCAGCTCGCTACTGTCGGTACAGAGCTCACTGTCTAAGCCGTGGGCAGATCGAGTACGTGTGCATTTGCCACTGCAGCCCTGCCAGCCCGCGAAAGCTCGTCCCTGCAAGAACTAAGCCAGAGCTGGGAACGTCCAAGCGATGCACGAAACCGTATTCGAAAGCCGCCATGCGCACCACGCACGAAGATGGGTGGGAGTCCTGCATGTAGAATGACAAATACAAACCACTTCCAGAGAGCTGGCCCTTGGCATCGACTTCCCAGTAAGGTGGCTTGAAAACAACGCTCATGCCCTCCAGCTGCATGACCAGGGTTGGTCGCTCTTTGCTCGACCGTCTTTGACGCTGAGCTGTCACGAAGTCGGGCGGATCCCTGTTATCGAGGCGTGTTCCGATGCATCGCAGCGTATGCTGTAATTTGTCCTCGAGCTCTGGCCACAAGCGGCTGGCGAAGGAAAAGGCCCAAACGAGTTGGCAAAGGTGCGTCAACTCGTTAGCTGCACGATTCCAATCAGCTCCAACATCCACACAATCCAGCAACGGGCTGGCAAGAAGCCGGTTGCCCAAGGCCGCAAAGGTGAGGCTGTCGGCCGACTGCATGTTTGAAAGTGCCCATGCCATGTTGGCTAAACCTTGCAAATCGAGCTCATGCACAATGGTTGCAGACTCTGCAGCTTGTGCTATCAGGCCCATCGACGGAATGTTGCCATATTGTGCCAGTGTGAATGACCATGCCCAGTTTGAAAGGTTTTGGGGTCGCATCTCCGTGCATATCCGCGCACTCTGAGTAGCCGATGCGTCCCAAACAGGCTGCCCTTCAACCATGAGCGTGCCAGCCGTCCACAAGGTGTTTGCAAGATCTTGCGGATTGAAGCAAAGTATGTTGGACACCGCTGCATTTGTCAGGGCTGTAATGACTGCTGCACCGTCAGACACGAGAGTTGCACATGTTTAGAATGTGTTGGAGGCGTGCTGTCGGTCGAACTCCAGAAGGCGCCCCACTTGCTCTCTCAGGACATGCAGGAAGGGTCGTTGCACAGGGGCCAAACGCCCAAGACATCAAACAATGTTGACCAAGTTCTGATTGTCCAGTGCAGACATTGTGCACGCAGCCCGGGTAACGGTTGCAGACATGAGAGTCACGTTTTGGAGCTAGGGAGTGCTGAAACACCAGGCCAAATTGGCCGAGCCTTGCGCGGAGAGCTCGTCAGCACAAATCATTGCAGCATTGCTGGCTGCTTGAATGCTCAACTGGTGTTGGAGCAAAAGAGTGCTTTGGGCCTGTGCAATGTTGGCCGAGTTCTGTGGAGAAAGCTCAGCCATGCTCAACACCTGGATGGTCAAGCTTTCGCAGGTCACCATGTTGGAATGACCTGGGACGCCCAACGTCCACAATAGGTTCGCCACACCTTGTGCACTCAGCTTCCTGCTCCAGTCCTATCTGACTTGTGCAAGCATTGCCAGCAAAGGCTTGGGTTTGGGAGAGGCCGTAGCAAACGCCCATAGAATGTTCGAAAGGCCCTGCCCTTCGCACTCACCTCCTTGAAGCTTAATCACTGCCTGCTGTCCGCTCACGGCAAGGAGAGCCACGTGCTTCAGCTTCAGAACTCCAACAGCTCACAGTGTGTTGGCAGCTCCCTGTGCGTCAAACTGCCAAGCTTTCGAGGTCGCCTCAAGCAGCAAAGCCTCCAAGAAGCGCCCATGGGCCCCACCAGCTTGGCCGGCCTGGCCCTCTGGCCGGGTTGTCCTTGCCGCCGTTCTTCTGTCATCTAAGGAAGGTCGCGGAAGGAACGCCCCCTCCGCCGCATCCTTCTCGGCCGTTGTGTCCAAACGTGCAACGCTGTGTTGACTAAGTGCTTCGTTTCCTAGGACTCGGTGTGCTATGACGGACAACAAGACTTCAGGCAGTCTGTGCTGCTGATGCTGCTGCTTTTTCAAGCTAAGTAATGGCCTGCCAATGGAGCCTTTAATACCCTGTCTGCGCTGGACTTCTTGCGGAGGTGTTCCCAGATCATAATGTATCCTTGGGATTCCGTGCCTACACGGAAGGCAGGCAAGCTCTCCGCAACCCGGCTGACTGCTGCCCCAAGCTTCAAGCTATCCAGGACCCGCGCCACTCTATGGCTGAAATGGTCAGCTGCTCGAACTCCATCTACAGTGATTGACCACGACACACCACGGATCCATTCGGCCCTCGCTTTTTCTATCTTTCCGCTGCTGCCACGCTCCCTGCCACGCACCTAGCTAACAGCACGCTCTGACACTCGTGTCTTACATTCTTGGGAGTTCAATCCGTGATACCAGGACGAAACCATCCGAGAGCACGAGGTCATGGCCTTGCTTGCATCTTCTGTTTTCAAAGAGCGTGCAGCGTAAGAAACGGTTGAAAATAATTGCAATCGGCTTGACCGCCATGCGAAGTTGCTCACAACTGACCAATCGCATCGCGTCATCGCGCGAGGCAGATGTCCGCAGGTTGCAGGAGAACTCTCTTGCCCTGATCTTTGCGTGCGTTTCATAGAGCTTAAAGCACCTGTGATCCTTCTTGTGAGCAATTCAGTGAAACCTAGTGAAACTAATTCAAAGGTTTTTCTTGCGCAAGCCTTGTGCTTGCCTTGGTAATCGTGCTCTCCGAGAAGCTCCAGAAGACCACTCCTAGCGTTGAAGCAGAATATAAACGGCTCTTGACGCTGCATGTTCCCGTGCAGGAGAGCAAACTTCACCAGATCGTTCCGTCGGGAGTTTCCGCCTGCCAGGGTCCAGGGACATGAAGCACAGGGTCAGCATTATCGGCAACCCCACTGCGATGCATCTGAAAGATGGATATTTTGTGCCCGCAACTCGATGGCGAGCATCCAGCAAGTTCAAGCTGTCTCTGACATGCTGCGAAGCAGCACTTCGGTGAAGAGACAACGCCGGCTGCCTTTGTGGAGTGACTATTGTACACATATGTACAGATCACAGAAATGTGACCGGCTCTAGACATTTTTCATTTTGACCACAGCAGCTTTGTCAACCCCTCCCGCTTCTTCCATCACCTCAGCAGCTGGCTACTGAGCTGTTCATGCAAAAGGAGAAGCTATGAGAAGCCATGATCATGAATCCTTTGAACATTGAAGGCTCAAGGCTGTGCGTCCATCCTCGCCACTCACGTCCTGCACACGTAGGGAAGTCGGCAGAACTTTGCCGAACAGCCGAAGCTCACAGGAGTCACCGAATTTCGAAGAAATTCTGACATAGCCAGCACGAGCCGGCGGAGAGTCTGAAGAGAGTAGTGGCGCCACAGAGGTATTCACAGGTGTCTGTGCCAGCTCAGCACATAGTGACGCAGCTTTGGAGCATGCCCTCCATGTTCTTGCGCAATCGGTTCACAATGCCTCGTTGCAGAGCCACAGTTCCTTCGAATGCTCTAATTCTAACATTGCCAGTGGGTTTTGGACTCGCTTGGGAGCACAGTCTGCCAAAGGAGCGAGCTGACTGATGTTGCCTCGGAGCCGGCTATGCTAACTGTTAAACTGCAAGTACGAACTCAACTGACTGAATGGAGCTTCGAATCGCCTGCATGACGGCTAATTTCAGATCGCCGGAAAGTTCAGCACGCATGCATCGAGTGACTGTGCGAGTGAATTATCGGACAACTTAGATGTTTAACACAGGCTTAGGTGAATGACCTCAGCCGAGTTACCTCAAAGCTGAGAAACGAAGCCACATTCAACAGCAAGACGGAGATTGCAAAGTGAATACTGTGGAGCGTTGAGTAATGATTCGAATCAAACCTCACCAGAAGATGCAACCCGACCGTTTCAGGCGGAAGTCAACGCTTCGGCCCATCAATGTTCAAGAACTATGTAGAGACTTCCGATAGTTCCGATGCTGCACAAGACATATCAACGCTAGGTACATAACTAGGGCACAACACGGACGATGGTCAAATAAAGTCCGCACAATGGAATCGTCATGCAGTCCATCAGCGGGCAATCTCTTGAACGAACACTTTTCACAAAGGCCCAAACCGCTTTCCACACATCGGTTTACTCGTTTCAGGTCTTCTGCAGCTTTCTATACGCAGTTTGTGCTTATGCCAAGTAGCAAGCACATTTCGGATATGGCGGGCATTGTGCGAGCATGCCGCGCAACTTCGTGCACGATTGAGAAGCGAACACTCAACCTGAAACCTGGTTGTGAAAGATCACATGTCAGTGTGCGAAACGAATCGCTTGCCCGCTAGGGGGGGATGGTTCCGCATGTCTTGCTGAGTCTTGCTATCGTCGAGGTGTGCTGTTGTGTGTTTGTGGAAAGTGTGTGAAATCCTGGTTGCAAAGACAGTAGTGTTACTCACCTGCACTCACATGTTCGAATGCAAGCGGAAGGGCAAGGGCTTCAGTGACGAGCGGATGCAGAAAGGGGCCTGGCGTTGGTCGGTCTGGTTACATGACCGTCTACTGTTGCAACACTCTGAAGCTGCATTTCGCCTCTTTCGAAACGGGGGTGTTTCACGATTTGGTACGACTGTGTTGCAACCGCCGTCTCAGGCACCAAAGGAATCGAAGAGCTTTTGTCCCCGGCACTGTCCTGTCCGTCAGCGCCAGGCCCTGAGTCCGGCTCCGAAACCGTGTCATCAACACCTTGGAAATCTCATCGGCAGGGGATTGCAGCTACCGGCCCTGCCCGCGGCCTGCGACCTTCTAAACCGAAAGTATCGATGCGATCTGCCCTTGACTCTGACTTAGCTCAGGACCCACAGCTGGTGATGCAAGCACACGAGCTGCATGATCTATCAGGCCATCCTTGTCACATTGTCACCCGGATTTGTTCTTGCAGACATTAGAGCAACAGATCTGCGACCAAGCTTGCGGCAATGCCGTAAAACTCTGCCAAGCGTAGCAGATCCAGTGCCATGTCCTGCGTACGGCAACGGCAGTCTAAGTCTACGACACCTGGGTACCCATGCAGGCCTTGTCACTGGTTGCGCTGCGGCAGTAGATCCATCGAATGACTTCTAAGAAAATCTCCAAGTCCTGTCACCGAAATTGTCGGGTGAAGCTCCGCACGCTCCAACACGACTCTTCCACGTCCCCAACTGGTAAATCTAACGTTGTCGCGACCACATACTTGTAAGTATTAAGTGCAAGTACAGTAAGATACTCATGGCTACGCACACCTACAGCCAAAACTGTCGCGCTTGCGATGTGCTGCATTTCTGAATGGTCTACTAAAAGAGATCGGCGCTTCGCATGAAGAACCGACATGTGTTGCAGGAATGCTTCTCATTGCAGTCATCGCGCTCAGCAAACATGGCACTATCGCGCCGGCACTCTGACAATGCACACCTCATGTATCCTCAGACTCGTGCCTTGTGCTCACACTTGCTCAGTCTGGGTTTCCGCTGCTTAGTTCGTGTTGCACACCAGACACTTGCATGTCGTGTATCTGCTGAAGATTCAGATTGACAAGCTGAGGACTCTCCGGATTGCGGCCGGGGGCTGCAGGTACTCAGCAGGGTTTCAAGCTTTGTGGCTCCGTTTGTGTCAAGCAAATCGTCTCTGATCATCGAACATGGAACATCTTGTGAACTAGGTAATGGAGGAAGAAAGGGACCGCAGTGGCTTGAGCTTCGAAATCCGCCGACCTGGCTAGCCTGGGAATACGCTCTCATCCTACTCCCTGTATATGTTGTTGGTTGCCTGCAGAGCTTGGCGCCGCGCTGCCCCTACCCCGAGCCTGCATACCCCTAACCGTCTCCCCCCCAGCCGACGCAGTACTGGGTATGCGGGGGTGCTTTCCCAATATCTACATGCCACAGTGTCCGAGGGATCTGGCATCAGGGCACGAAGCGATGCAACCTGCACTTCTATACCACCAGGCGTGGATCATCTTAAGCACGTAGCAGGGTAGGTATGAACATGTTAACCAAGCTTCAACATGTCTGATAGTTTGGGACTTTGGGAGTGAGAACCTTCCGCAGCGCAATATAGCGCAATCAACAGAGCCTCTTCCACCTGCACGAGGTCAGTGCCACGTTCCGCGAAGTTGCCTTCAAATAGCGATTCGAAGTAGCTGACCTGGCATTTGAGCACACCGACTGGTCTGAAGCGCAACATGTCATGACATGCTGCCGAAAGCATGGGACGCGGGACAAACATAATAAATATATACTAATACGCGATAGCATGAAGTGAGTCACACTTACTGAGCCGCCACAGCTGTCCCGATCATAGACGGGAGCAGCCGCGAGGTGGGAGGCGGATCTGTGGCGAGGAATGCCTGTGCCTGGGCACCTTGAAAAGCAGCAGGCCCTCTCGTCACATGTGTACAGCAAGCATCAGCAAGCCAGCCGAAGCCAAGTGCACAAAGAACACGACCAATGCAACCAGAACAAGCCTCTCTTGCACATTCCAGCATTCCGAGTCGCCAACAGGACGCTAAGGACTGGGACTGATTAGTACATCACACGAAAGGCTGCTTCCTTTCTAAGAACATGTCTATGTGCGACTGCATATCACACTCTGCCCAGGCAAGCTTTACTCTCGTCCAGTCACATCCCGTCAAAGGCCTCTGAGAGGACACGCCGATGGGCGAGGAGCTTGCGACCACCGTTACAGCTCAGCGTCACGTCAGGGCGTGTCTGGGCAGCGAGAAGTACATTCATGTCTCTCCACGTCTAACTCCATAAGGTCAACTGCTCAAAGACGCACGAATCCCGTCTGTATTTGAGTCGAACACTGAAACGGTTCGAAACAGTTCATTGAACAGGCACTTTAGCTTCCTTGCTGGCTGAGCATGGCACTCCGCAGTACAGTCGCAGCTCAGGCCGCACCGCTTCCTGTGGCTTTCGGATTTCGTGGCCCGCAACCAGGGGTTTCGGTCGCATCGTGGCCTCCATGCAGAAATCCAGGTCCCAACCATCACTGGGATCGATCTCATTCTCGCCACTTGGGCACCTCCACATCACTTACAATCCTGTTACTGCCTTTCTGCACGTTGCAATCATAGCCTCTGCCGGTCGGTAAGTACTGTGTACTGCTGCAGCTACTGCTGTCCCAGACAAGCTCTCAGAATCGGACACAGTCGGAAATTGGTCTTCTGCCAAAGCCTCGCCCAGACCGATCAGAAACAAGCAATCCACTGACCCTGACCAGAAACGAATTCTCATGAATTTCAAGCATCGGAATTTCGGAACGAGCTTCCACAGGCCTCCCGGAAGGAGAACATGGCCCATATAGCGGGTGCTACTGTAACTAAACTTAATTAATCTAACTGCATGCAGTCATGCAGTCTGTCCTGCGCACTGCACTGTGTCCCTCAAAGTTCTTCTTCATGCGCAGTGCGTGGTTTCGAATCGGCTTGCAAGCTGGGTTCACCCGAGGGCCAGTCGGGACTGGCACGCCTGCATGTCTGTGAGCCAGCTAAACAGCATTCGGTTTGTCCACATTCAAAATACGCACAAGTGTTCGGCACTGGTGCAGCCAATGTTGACACATCTGTGAATGATGACTGCAGCTGTGCACCTCACACCGGTGAACCAGCCTGGCAAGACGCGACAGCCAAGGCTAAAAAGGCGTCATGCAGAGACTTGTTTCGTTGCTGCTGCCTTGCCCTTCTCCAAGATTCGGCTTCAGGTGTTCGGTAAATATGGCATTTGGAACAATTCAAACCTTGTAGCATTGTAGAATATGTGCCCAGCCAGACCTCCGAGAAGTTCGTGTCTCCACCGGCAAGGCTTTCCTCGAACGACATGATCTCACCGACACCAATGAAAATGCTGACTTCAACCAAGCACTGTACAGCTGGAGCTGTCGCTGGGCGCGGAGAGGCCTCAGGCTCCAATTGGGCAAACGTCGTTGTCGTTTTAGCGAGCTGCTTACGCAGCTTGATGATCAGATTCAGCTTCATGCCACTGCACTGTGCGGAGAGCCCCATGCTGCACTAGGTGGGATGTGCCATGCCTGCAGGATCTGATCGCGTTCACAATCCCCGTTGCTGAGACCAAACAGTCAGCCTTCCGCCTCTCGCTGGGGCTCAGAGACTGGCCTCCGAAAATTGGATTGGTGCACGTTTGTGCTGCGTGGGTGTCATGCAAGACGTATTTTACCAAAGCCATGGCAACTATCTGTAAAGTCCGACTTCATTGCAGGAGCGGTATGTTGGTAGGCTTCGGCGCTGGGCAGGCAGGCAGGCAGTCTTCCCGCGTTATATCGCAGCATTCGGAGATGCAACTGAGTGAAGCCGGGCTCAGCATCAAAACATCTTCGTTCCGCTGCTTATCAAAAACCTCCGAAACGACGGTGGCAGCAGACCATCGTCCAAACAAAGCCCAGAACAGGTTGGCTGCGCCTGCGCCTGCAGGAGAGCCGTGGTTTACTGAACTTTGTCAAAATACTAGTTTACGACATTGGCGTCACAACGTTCGGAGACGAAGTGTTCACACACAAGCCTCTTCTTATTACTGGCACAGGGTATGTTCACAGACTTATCGTTGTTGAAAGGGCATTTTGGCGATAGTTGTGTTTGGCATTTGTTATTTGGCTAAGTTAGCCGTTAGCACCGGTGGCACAAGCATGCACGCTCCACAGCTGCCCGGACGGACAGCGCTGCGATCCAGCTTAACATGTATCCGGCTGATGCATGCGCAAAATCCGGGTCAACAAAATCCAGCCACGCAAGGGCACCACATAGAAAACGCGCTGCAACCTCCGCTGAGCTCTCAGTGAATAGCCGCATCAAAACTTTTTGGGATTCGGGTCCACACCGTCGGGTCGGCTGGAAAGGTTCCTCCGAGGTGACGAGGTGCCGCATCAATTTTGAGAGAAGGAAACCAAGCCGCCGAGCTGAGGGAAGTGCAGCTTCTCTCACAGGTCTCAGCCATTGCGATTTCTGACAAGCTTGAAAAGCCCTTCTCGGAATCCAAGACGCCCCAAACAGGTGAGGCCTGGCCGCAGAAACCCTGCGGTAGCTTCCATAGTTTGGGTGAGGCGTGTGCGCAAGCTCTCTTACGATAAGCTGTCGTGACAAGTCGTGATCAGAGTGGCTCCGAATAGCCAACAAATATTATTGAAAACATGGACCGCCTTGCAGAAGAACTTTCGGGACTATCGGCAGTGACCTCTATAAGACTATGTGAACTATATGAATTACTAACCACATCAGATAGGCACCTGCCAACGTCTCGTTATCTCATGCTCGAACGAATGCAAAAAGGTATCAAACTCAAAGACGAAGGAGGGCGAGGCGGCGAACATCTCAGCACTTCAGGACCGAACTTGCCAATGTTGCCAATGTTGCCAAGAGACGATCCATCAAAAATATCAAAAACGTAAACAATCCGCTGCTGCTTTTATGCACCATTATTGCACCCATCCTACCGCCACGGTCTCACCTTCACCTGCGTCAGCTTCGTGCGCCTCCTCAATGCCCGAGTCCTGCGAGACTCTCATGCCTCGCTCTGAAAGGGCAAGCATTTCTTGCGATGGCTTGCGGCTCCCTGTGGAACTTGGAGTTCCATCTCACATCTGATCTCGATGTAACAGCATGCACCTGGCTGGAGCTGCGGAGCTGCGAGGGAGACACACTGACCCGAACATGAGCCACCCGCCTGGAGGTGCACCCTCTCACCTCGGTACCCAGGAAATTCGGGGCCCAAACCGCCTCTCCGCGTCTAAGGCTATAAGATCGCTGCTCTCGGGCCACCCAGGCGCCTCCAAAAACAGAGACTCTGAGAGAACGTCCACGTCCACTCACAGTCCGAAGTCCTGGAGGCCGCTCGATCTCGGGTCCCCTGGAGGCCGCAGCCTTTTGCAAAGACTCGCACACTAGTTCCGCTGCTCTCCCGACCGACTCTGAAAGCGGAAAACCGCGTGGTGCCTGCCCGCATCGAGGGGAGATTGACTGCGATCCCCCGCTCGCGGAGACAAGCTGCGAACCCTGCGATCCTCAGTGCTGTGCGATGCACCCATCGGGTTTGGATGCAAGAACCCCAAAGTTGCCAAAGTGTGCGCGCCTCTGAGATTTGGGGAGACTTGTTGGTGCTCTGCTCCGAGGTGTCAATCCTTGCAGAGTCAATCCTTGCCGTGATGGAAGAGGGGGAGCGGAGCGCACATCAGCGCACCTTGCTGAGGGTGGTGGCTCAAGATCTTCCCGATCGTTTCTTGACCTCGATAGGCCGGAGTCATGATCGGCTGGATGCTGTCAGGCGCTGAGTTAATGCCTGGTTCTGGTGAATGGAATGCGCTGCGTGGGAGAAGCTGGAGTGTCGCTGGCCTGAGCCGCTCGTAAGGTGACGGTGTATGTATATTGTACAATGTGCAATCCGGCCTTTTTTCCGCCGACCAAGCCTGCCATCTGCTCCGGCCAGGTGCGGCCGTGCCTGATGCTTTTCACGCTGCCTACGAGGCCACCCACCTGTGACCGTGAAGCGTGGCAGCACAAGGCATAAGTGCCAGTCATCGAAAGATCCTCGAGAATCTCGCGAGAACTCATCGCCTAATTCAGGAGTGGCACCTCTGTTGCTCACCTTGCTCAACTTCGCTCTGAGTTGCAAGCTGGAGAGGGTGGCAGTTTGTTGGAATTCAGTGGAGATGTGCGAGATTTCCGTGCAACAGGAATTGCTTTGCATTCCAGTCCTCAGCCGAAGTCGCGAACTCGCTTCCATGTCTGTCACGAAAGTGCGCAACTCACACGCAGGCCTCGATGCTCATCGGCAACCTGTCACATCCCTGTGCTGTAACTACCATGACCCTGCGTCGATGGCGAGCACGTAAACGCACTCACACCACATTTCAAGCCTCAAGATCAAGTCCACCTCGGCTTCTTCCGGCAGAGCTGGACGTCCTGGGTTCAACGAATCAAGCAAGGCTCACTCCTGCATCTGACTTGCAAGGATACTTGCGAGATTCAACTCAACCAAAATCCGAGTGTCCAAGATTGGTTGCTTGAAGACCGGGACGGCGCAGATCTGTTTCCACGTCGAATATCTGGAGCAGGTGCTGGCGGTGATCCGGAGGCCTGGGCCATGCCCATTCACGGACGCATGCGGTCACGATCACAAGCGCAATCAAGCACACTCACACGCAACAAATACACACAGACACAAACAAACAACCAGGCAAGCAAGCAAGCAAAAAAGCAAGCAAGCAAACAAGCAAATAAACAAAACGACACACAGACACCCAAGCACTCAAGTAACCAGCCAAACAACCAACAAACAAACAAACACACAAACAAAAATAAAACACACAAACAACCAATGCAAGCAAGCATGCAAACAAAACTACACCCAAGCACCCAAGCACCTAAGCAACCAGCAACCAACCAAGCAATGGACCAACCAAGCAACCAACCAAATAACCCACACACACACACAAACAAACAAACAATCAAACAAACACACGAACAAACAAACAAACAAACAAAAAAACAAACAAACAAACAACAATCAAACAAACAATCAAACAAACAAAGATACAAGAACACCAACCAACAAACAAAGACGCAAACAAACACAAACAAGCACGCGCAAACAGACGAGCAGGCAAGCAGACAAGCTAACAAACAAATGCATAAACCCACAGCCAAACAAACAGATGCATAAACTTAAACCCACAACAAACAAATATGCAAACTCACAATAACCACACGAACAAATGTAAGTGCACGAACAAGCACGCAATCAAACAAATAAACAGAGAAGAGGGCTGGGGCGGGGTTGTTGCTAGTTGTCACGCACAAACAACGGCTGCTGCAAAAAACTAATCTGGACACCACAGGGGCTGTCCTTTTTTCTAATCTAATCTTGGCACCACAGGGGGGCTGCCTTGCAGGTACAAAAGATCAGTCCTCTCTTCCCAGTCACTTGTGCTGCCGGTGACAGCTTCGTTGGGCACAGTCGTAGCGACATGCTGTGTCCCACTGCGGGTAGGAGTGACCCTCCTCTCCTATGTGCTCAGGAAGCTCACACAAACACACACACACACACACACACACACACATCACACACACACACACGCACACACCCGCACACACCCGCACACACACGCACACACGCGCACACACACACACACGCACACACGCACACACGCACACACGCACACACGCACACATGCACACACGCACACACGCACACACGCACACACGCACACTCACACACACACACACACACGGACGGGCACGCACTTACGTGTGCGCATGCGCTCGCAAACACACGTTGCCAGCAGGAGGAGGCCTTGAGCGTTCGAGCTCCATTCTCACGGCCTGCATATCGCCAACGCTTGTTGGGATGGCCGCACTTAGACTTCAGTGAGAGGGGATGTTGCGGCAATCCTGCCTGGATTGCCGGGCACTCGGCGGTGTCCGGCCTGGCCACGCGCATGGGTCCAGTTCGATTAAGCAGACCCTTTCAGTTCGACTGCAATCATAGCGGTAGGAAAACTGATGACAGTACTAGCAGAAGCAGAGGCAGGCGTAGTAGTAGTTGTAGTTGCAGTAGTCGCAGTAGTAGTAGTAGTAGTAGTAGTAGTAGTAGTAGGAGTAATTAGTAGCGGTAGCAGTAGGACGATTAGTAGTAGCTGTAGTAGTAGAAGAAGTAATAGTAGTAGTGGTAGTGGTCCTCGTCGTCGTAGCCGTAGCCGTAGCCGTAGCCGTAGCCGTAGCCGTAGCCGTAGCCGTAGACGTAGTAGCCGGAGTAGCCGTAGCCGTAGCAGTAGTAGTAGTAGTAGTAGTAGTAGTAGTAGTAGTAGCTGTAGTAGTATAGTAGTCGTAGCAGGAGTAGTAGCAGTAGTAGAAGAAGTAGTAGTAGTAGAAGAAGAAGTTGTAGTAGTAGTAGTAGTAGTAGTAGTAGTATCAGTAGTATCAGTAGTAGTAATAGTGCTAGTGCTACTGCTTTAGCTTATTCTAGAGCTAGTGCTAGTGCTAGCGCTCGTGCTAGTGCTACTACTATTACTGCTACTGCCGCTGCAGTAGTACTCCTGCTGCTGCTGCTCTTAACGTCTCTAACCACGACCACCACGGCCATTACCACGATCCCCACGCTCAAGCCCCCCCACCCCTGACGTCGCTTTACCACAAGCATCAACACTGGGACTGCCACGAATTTGGGCGAGTTGTAGAGGGGATCCTCTTCGCACATGAGCGGCCCTCCAGACCTCATGAGGCTGGATTGTGGCGACTCGCAATCCGGCTTGCAGACAGCATCAAGACTTGATGGTTCCCCTGCTATGAAAACGGGCTTCAAGCTAGCCTTTTCCAATCTCGTTCCGGTATACGACGCCTGACTTTTCAACACCAGCTCCACGTGAAGTGTGGACTGCCTGCGACCCTTCGAGGGCAAATGTCCCCAGCTCGGGATGCGGCAAACGCTCTCTCTGTGCGTGCGTGGGTGTGTGTGTGTGTGACTAGCTGCGTTCGCATGCCGGTGACTGCTGTAACCTCAAACACTTCTACACTGTACCTGGTGCATATTCAATGCTGATCGCACTCAACTTCGAGGGGCGTTCTGCCTACACGACTGTGATGCACTCGCACAAGCCTGTAGGAGTGCTGCATGATTGTCGTTTGCTTACTACTCTGGTAGAGTAAATGAGATTTGGCATCCGATTTTCGCAACCATCATTGGCACGAGTAAGCTGGCAACCTTCATCAGTCTCATCATGCACTTGTTCGAGAAGAGCGTACGGCTTCCAAGATCATCTGTCATCTGCTGGTCTTTGTGGTCTACAACTTGGCATTTCGAAGACCGCACCTACCAGCGCAAGCCACATACATCAAACAAAGTGTTCGTGCGCGTGTGTTGCGAGGTGCGTTGTGCGTGTGTGTGTGTGTGTGTGCGTGTGCGTGTGTGTGTGTGTGTGTGTGTGTTTGTGTGTGTGTGTCTGAGTGCACGTACCTGTGTAAAGGAAGAAGTGAATGGACGGAAGGATAGATGGATGGATGGATGGTGTGCTTGTGTACTTATGCACAGACGTCGCTGTACTTGTGAATGAACGTCATGCATGCATGCAGGAGGTAGGTAGCCAGGCATGCCTTTAGTGGGTAAGTTGTTCGGTAGGTTGTTTGGCGGTACGTTGGTCGGTAGTAGAAGTAGGTCGGCAGGTGGGTAGGTATAGGTACATCCGCATGTATGCATGTCTGCGCTGATGTGTACCTATCTATCTATCTATCTATCTATCTATCTATCTATCTCTATATATATATATATATACATATTCTTTTAATATCTACGGCATCCCCCATGAACTACCGACCCTCGTAGTTTTTTATCGGAAATACCGTGTTAAACCGGCTTTTCCGGCACGTCCGGATTCCGTATCTCTGAAAGACTGCCAAAACCAAACTGACATTTGAAGCCAACGCGCCAGGCAACTCGTTCAGGTTCGACGTGAGCAAGGTGCTCTTCCAATCAAAAACCAACCGCCAAGCAACTCGTTTAGGTTCGACGTGAGCACGCGCTTGACGGCAACACTATACTCTTCCAATCAAACCAACTTTTCCTAGGGAAAACCAAAACACCCCAAAACAACATCTTTCGCGAAACTATACGGCCAGACTCCAGAAAGACTGGTTTTGTTGGTTTTCCCTAGGAAAAAGTAGTTTTCGGTGCAAAACAAAACTGTTCCAAGGATAATTCCTAGGGAAAAGACTTTTTGGGGCAGAAAAACCGAGCGAATGATTGATTGACTGATTGATTGATTGATGGATTGATGGATTGAGTGAATGAATGAATGTTTGAATGAATGAATGGATGAATGAATTAATGAATGCACTGCATAAATGAATGAATGCCAGCGGTTTGGGATGGTCGCCCTGAAACGTGCCTGCGTTGCCCGACTCCGGGCTTTGCCCATTAATTAAAATAGTTCATGCTGAAACTCATAGTCTTTCCACAAGAATGCCGACAGTCTACATCTTCATCCTCTTCGACCACCCTTAACCCACAAAGAAATCAAAATAGCAACTGAATTTAACATCAACACAGTGCAGGGTATGGGAACCCGTATACAATATGGCCGGCCGAGTCCGGAAGAGGACCCGAAATTCGAACACAGCGTGTGATCGCTCAGGAAAGCCTTTGCCGTATTGTCTTAGTCACACCTGCAGTTGATACCTGCAACTCAGAGACCCGAAATCTAAAGCACCTGAAAGCAAAAACCATATGTCATGAAGCCTCGCACCTCGAAGCCGGAAACAGCAAATTTTACATATCTGCGAAGCTTCCAGGTGCCCGCGCATTACTTTTTACGGGTTGCAAGCTTTTTCTTGGCTTTCGAATTTCTGGTGCTGGGGCTTCAAGTCTTTATTTTAGACTTCTGCTTGAGGGCTTGGGGATTTGCCTCGTATCAATCCTGGCTGGATCTAGAGGTTCACCACTTTTGGCCGTTCCCTTTCAAGCTTCTGGGTTCAATGGTTCAACTTTTACAGGACTGAGCAAACGATGCATCTACAGGTAGAGGTATTGCAAACTTGTCGACCAAAATCCATAAAACTTCAGGCCCGGGAATCACTCGAAAACGTGAGCACTGTAAATTCAGAAGATGCGTTGCATGGAGCGTCGCGTGCTGCTTTCCAAAACTGTTGCCAAAATCCACGTTTAGCGACATTCCAACAATGCATAATTTTGTTTGAAGTGCTGGAGCCATCAAAATGCGAATGAAAGTGTGGAAACATGTAGCAACACCATTCCACACAACACACAGGGCACTAACCCATGCGAAGTGCTTATGTATGCATGCATGTATGTAGGTAGGCAGGCAGGTAGGAGGTAGTAGGTGCAATCCTTGTCTGTATGTATGTCTGCATGTAGGTATGCATGCATGCATGTATGTGTGTGTGTATGTATGCATGTAAAGACGTGTGCATGTGCGCATGCATGTGTGCATATGTTTATGTATGTGACTGTATGTGTGTATTTGTTGTGCCGGTTTGTCTGTCTGTATGTATGTGCGCATGTTGGCATGTGTGTGTAGGCATGTGTATTTACATGCACGGATGTCTATGTTTGCATGCATATGCATGTGCTTGCGTGTATGTCTGCATGGACGTGTCTATGCATGCATGCATGCATGCATGTCGGGTTCGGAAGAAGACTGACAGAAACTTGGGATGGCTGGTAGCCCTAATGCCGAGATACATTGCCATGGCTTGTGGACTCCCGGAGTTTCAGACCTTTAGGAGTCGGTCGCTCTTTAACTGGACCGGGGTCGGGTCCGTTTGCATTCGCTGACGACCTCGATGAGTGGGAGGTCTGCCCTGAGGCAGACAGGAAGGTGTGGTCGGCCATGCTAAGAGCTTTTGGCCTCCACAGCATGCAACTTCAACCCGATGGGCAGTTTCGGACAAGACGACCAGTTGTGGAGGTGATGCTTAAAAACGTTTCTCCGCGAGACTGGTGCTAGTAGACATGCGCTCCGCATCTCAAACATGCGGTCGTGGACTCTTCTCTCATCCGGACATACCCGCTTCTTTTGTAATCGCAAAAAGTCTGTCCAGGGATGGCACCTGCGCGAATCTAGATTACATCGTTTGTGGACAATATACGATTGGGGATAAGACGTCGACTCCGTCATTGAGCGAATGTTTGCCGGAAATTGTACAAAGCTACAAGGACTCGGTGCGTGCAATGCTGGCAAAAGAGGCACCGGATCTGGTTTGGGATGTCCTTTGCTGGAGCGCTTGTTCTTGGGTGGGGATGGAATGGAACAGTCGAGTTCCAGACGAACTTGGTGCCACACCCCAGCATCGACCCGACGGTTGCATTCTTGCCCTGCTCATCTCGGCAGAAAAAGACATCCTTCTGAAGCCATGTGCTTTGGGTGGACGTATCGTGCACAGGCTAGCTCTGGTGGCAGGTGAAACTGTGACACTTCTCCTCTGAAGTAACCTTGCCGCGGTTTCCTTTTGCGAATTTCCATGGAAGGGACGGCTTTTTCGGACCCATGCTGCGGCCGGGCACGTCTACTCATGACATCACTACGCGATTGAACGTGACAGAATTCCGTGTGCTAGGTGTCCGACTCGGACCCAGGCTCATCAGAAAGATAACACTTACCTACTGATGTACGCAGGTAGGTAGGTAGGTAGGTAGGTAGGTAGGTAGGTGTAGGTAGGTAGGTAGGTAGGTAGGTAGTTCGGTCGGTAGGTGTATGGGCATGTTGATGGGTGCTGAGCGAAACTTGGGATGTGAGACCAGCTCACGGCAGTCGGAATCTGGGGGCGGATGCCTTTGCCCCATCCGGACATCTGTGACTCTTTGCAAATTGAGATCCTGGATTTCGGGTACGAAACTGTGACCGTCTATGTCTAATCATGCTCGTCGTTGTACAGTAGTCGCGTGCGAATAGGTGCTGTGGGCTTTGGCAAGACATCGTCTGGCAATCCTGGGGACGTGGCTGAAGTGGTCCAACCAAACATCCCAACGAGGAAGAGCGCTTCGGATTTCCTGGAGACACAGCGGGCTGTGAAGGCCATTCGTGTAGACAGTGTAGACACGGCATTCAGCCGCAAAATCTGCTGCCTGGTTCTGCATCACTCCGAATTTCGCCGGGACAGCCCGCCTGGTGCTCGGCCTCGATCGCCCTCGGCGCGTTTGCCGCCGTTTCTGGATCCAGCCGTAGACCTGATGCCACCATGTTGAAAACGAGCTTAAACCGTGTTTAGCCTGCTTCCTGTCCTGGCAAATCGTCTGGTTCTTTCGTAAGTCCTAGGGAGTTGGGAAATGATGTTTAACGTGCGCCTGTCCAGCATCTCTTTACTTGCAAGCGTGCTGTTAAATGGGCCACGTTTTAAGAAACAAAACACGTTTGTAACTTGCCAAGACGGACGTAAGCCTTGATGGAACGCTGAACGTGCCTCGAAATAAGCCTGGTCTTTTGCATTGGAAATGTTAACACCTCTTGCAAAGCCTGCATGACGCTTGTGATTAGACTGCGGCTCTAAGGCTCCGAGGCCTTCTCATATCACGTCCCTGCCTGGATGGCTTTCGCACAGGCATAGATGGGTTCACGGCGACCTGTGACTGCAAATCAACTGCTCAACAAATCTTCTGGAAGAGCTAGCTCGAGGGCTCGTTCAGCAAAGCTAGGATTCACCTTGGCCTCGGCTGCGATTGTGTGTGAGACCTCTGCTACCGGTGAGGCAGTGATGTTTTGTCTGGCAAACATACCAGGCGTTCAGCTCAAAAGACCGAGCACAGGGGCTGAGGCAACCTGTCCTCCTTCGGCATCAGGTGGTCCTCCACACATCCATAGAGGCTAGGATGAAGCTATCGGCACACGAGCCAAGTCTGCAACAAAGTTCCTTTTATCAATCCATCGCTCCTGACTCGCTTGCAGCGGGCGAGACTTGATCCTGGCCCACAGCCGCGCAAAGGATCTGCTTACAAGGCCCACAGCCAAACCCTTCTGAACCTGGCATGGTGCACAGACTCTGCAAGCGTTGGAAGATCGCTGTTTTCTCGGAAGCCGAAATTACTGCAGCGGATTGAATTCCTATTCAATACGATTCGCTCGACCCAACGATTCACACTCCCTACCGTACGAGTACCATCGGATTGAACACAGAAGTAAGCGACGGGGCATGAGAGCCAGCCTCTCAGAAGAGAGCCCGAACTATGTTCGAAGGAAAGTTGTCTGTCATATTAATACCCAACTCAGGAAGTTGAACTCGTTGCCACAAAGTCAGATCTATTCACGGCGACTCGTCCGTCAGCTGAAAGCATCAAGTCCATGTGAGCGTTTGTTTGCATATCAAACCTTGTCGGGTGGAAGCCTCGCCGTGAAACCGAAACTTCAATGCTACGTGACGGCAGATCGAACCCTGATCCGTCTGAGCCAGATGTCAATCAACAGAGGGATGTTGATGTCAAGGATGGTGTGCTATGATGTGGGAAGCCGAGGCGTGCGTTGGCTGTTGAACATGTGCATGTCACGTATAGGTGCCACGTCAGGAGCTCCATGTTGTTCCAAATATGCCAATATCAGTATCCACTGTATGTCCTGGCTGTTCTTCACGGCCTGGCCAACTTTTCCATGACTGCAACTACACGCAGCTTCTCAGAGTCTCCCTGCATCCGACTGCGAGGCGACTACTGCAGTCTCAGCTAAGTGCAAAGCTGCAACTTCAGCCGTTGATCGAGGCTAGGAAAGCATACTTTTGGTTTCAGTTCACTGGGCGACATGATTTATCACGATTCAGTTTCGTGCTACTCAATTCAGTTTTCCCTTGCAATTTGAGAAATGAAACTGGCCTGGGCCTGCATTTCCGAGCACACCGGGGCTATGCTCGTGCAGCGCTGGTCGGACCTCCAAAGGTGCCACGTCGTGACTGAAGACAAACTCTGCACCGCAGCCTCGTCGCTCCTGTGACACCTCTTTCGGCACCCTCATCGCACCTTGAGCATAAGCATCTGGGAAGCCGCAACATCAACCAATGCAGAACCGATTCAAGGTAAGGCAGCAGCCAGCCACCCTCGCCGATGCTAACGACTGCATCAGAATCTTGAGACTCCGATTGGTACCAGTCCTGAGACTACAGCAGCTTGGAAGTGCTGTGTGGAGTGCTGCCAAGCACATGAGCTGAGCAGCATCCTTGCTTGCACAAATCTCAGCCTCTGCCCTGCCAAGATGTGAAGATGCTGGACCCCAACACTGTAAAGCGCAAAGACACAGCAGACCTCTCGCATCTCTCGTGCAGGCCTCCTGAAGTCTTCAACTTCAGCTGGACATGCGGTCTCCCACTCGGCAAAGAGTTTGCTTGGCCTGTCCAATGGGCTTCCCAACAGTAGGTGAAGCGTCTCTTCCAGACTGCCAGCTCCTAAGTAGACTTCATCAAGACCGAATCGCCTCACGCCGGTCCCATCGCTGATGCTGCCAGGCCTTGGCTGACAGGGCTTGCCTACTTCTGACCCAGTCCTCAAACAATGGCACGCCCGCTAGGTCAGTTCCCCGGAGATTTCGGGAGGGGCCAGACGAGGTCGATGTTTCAAGACGTGTTGCGCATCTTCCGAGGTGCTCTGACGTCGTTTTTGCAGTGCTTCAGACGCCTACGAGAAAGCTGAGGGACAGCAAGTGTCAGTGCTGATCTTTACAGCGCCTTCAACCCTCAGCCCCACAGCTGCCTGTGCAAAGCCGACCCGGAACACATCACGCAGGTCGACGCGTAGCCTTCTACGAGCTGGTCAGCCAAATTCTATGTATCGCGTGCCAAGTTTTGGCGTGCTCGGTGCAGCTTCTTGCAAGGTCTCTTACTCGCCAGGACTTGGTGGCGAAAGCCTAGGCCGCTTGACGTCCAAAAGCGCCGTCCAGAAGGCACAAAAAAGGATCTGCGAGCAACGTCGCGGCATGTCACGGCCTCGTCGAGGCCGAGCCGGGGAAGTCAGCGTACTCTGCAGCTCCAACCCTGTTTGCCACAAACAAGAACCTCGCGCAAAGCTTGGACCCTCATGTACATAAATCTTCTCAATGGGTGAACCATTGTGAACCTACAGTCCTACCGACCCGCGGCAAGCGACGTTTCGCAGATGTCTTCTTGAAGGCGATTCTAGCACCGGGTGTCTGACGCGATTTGCACTTCAAGGGCCAGCGCTGCCTTGACAATGTCGCCTGACGCGCTGCAGCAAAGAGCATTGTGGTACAAATCACAGGCAAGCTGAGCCACTTACAAAGCTGTCCTGCCTCCAGCAAGCGGCTCACCATCGCGCATGCTTAACATTTCCAGGATGCCTTCTGTATCTTCTTGCAGGAGCCTCGTATATAGAAAAATATCTTGCGAAGTCGCTCGACGATACCTTCGACAGTAGCTCTTGCCTCGATCTCCACAGCTTGACAACACCTAAGGCGATCAGGACGACGGCCTCATCACAGGGGCAGACTGCTTTGCTGGACTGCTTGCTTCGCTTTCCGAATGCCGATCCCTCTGCCTGCAAACCATCGCAAACGATCAGGTCCCAAACACCTGGTGGCTGCACCATGCCGTGCTCGCCCAGACATGCGAACTTGCCAGGATGACGGGCAGCGGCGTCAAAGCAGAGAGGCTGGGTGAAAACGGTGAGTATCCACCTGTCCCGACTCACAGCAACATCAAAACTGGTCGCAGTTCGTGTCATTTGCACAGATCACGCAGCTCCCGTGCACATTTTGACAGCACTAGTACTTCAACGATCTTGAGTCTTTCCTCACAGAGCTCAGCGCATTCAGCTTGGCTTCGCATCTTGCGCTGGTATATACACATAAGTCATCGACAAAACATCGCAAGAAGGCGCTTTCACTCGGACTGGACTGTTCTTTGTCTTTCGCGAACTCTATTGCGATGTTTCACTTTGAATCTGCTGCAGCATCAGGCACTTCCTCGCAAAACAGCATGCTATGCTGGACATCCACACAGACACACGAGAAGGAGAGAGACAAACAGACAGACAGACAAACGGACAGCCACACACACACACACACACCGCACTCACACATGCAGAATTCGTAAACTGCAGGCCACACATGAAGGCATGTAAGCATCGACTAGGCTCCGTAACATGCCACTGGCCCACAGAAGCTCCCTCGCAAAGGGAGTGGGAGGGAAGAGTCATTGATGTCAATTTCCACCTGCCAGACATCACTTCTTATCTCGTTACTCGTCAAGGTGACTGGCAACGAGGCCTTCGGTTGACTTTCCATCCAAGACTGGAGCGCTTGGAAGACCTCTGCAAAAAACATTTGCCCAAGGACCCTTTTCGAGTCGTGATGCTTCAGCAAGGTGTTGGCACCTCCAGCCTCTAGCAATCTGGTGTACAGAAACATTGCGACAAGCAGCCTGCCTGCCGATTGTTGGCCATGATGAGAGGAAAATTTTGATAGCTCATCTGTGCTGCAAAGGCAGTGGTGTCAGCCTGCAGGAAATCTGTAATAGTCGGTCCGTGAATGGTGCACCCCCACACACACAGACTCACTCTCTCTCTCTCTCTCTCTGTGTCTGCTCTTTTTCCAAACAGACGAGAGTAGAAGTCGGACTACCGCCCCGCACGCAAGCACAAGCGCTCACTACGGCTACGGAAAGGCCGGAGGGGATAAGTTCTGTAATGCAAGGAGACCCCCCTAAGCTGAAAGTGGCAAAACACCTTCCCGGCCTTGTTGTGGCCCCGTTTCGGAGTTTCTGTGTCTGTCGTCTGCCTTGTCTGCCTTCTCGGCCCGCACAATCAACAATAGGGGTAGGGGATGCGTGCTCTCCTCATCACGGCTCGCTCTCTTGCTTTGTCTCTCTTTCTTTCGCTAGGGCTCTCTTCTTCTTCCTCAGGGCTTAGGGAGCGTTCGAAGCCCCCTGGCCACAAGGTCCCCCAGCTGCTGGGGCTGTTTGACGGGACGGTGAAAGCACATGCACCGGAACAAGACTCACGGACCTAAGCAAGCTCGACCTACCTAGCATAAGTTCGAGTAGCAAACCCACGAAAATCCCTCGGCACGTTCAAACCGCAGCTCAAGGACACCTTCGAATTTAGCACATATCCCCCTATCCGTGGGTAGCAATTGGACCAAGTGCAAAACATCTAGCATCAGTTCGGGGGGGTTCTGTGCTCAGCACAAACAGACTATGTGTGCGGATGTCCTGCCGAACTGTGAATTAGCAAACCTGCAACAACTAGACAAAGCATAACTACTCGGCCTGGGGTCGACATCCCCGGCTTGGCTACATCGCATCTGTTCCCTTCCCAAAGGGCGGGAGCGGCAACCAAACCGCTATGTAGGATGGGCCGGCCACCAGATTGCGAGAAGGTTCTATCCCGAAGGAGAGGATAGTCCATCGTGCTTTGTCAGGACTCGCAGAGCGGCACACAGACACGACAAGTAGTAGGGCGCTGCGTATAGCACCTAGAAACCTGGCTACCGCTGTCTGCGGGTGTTGGAAAAGACGTCTTTATTCATGTCTATACGCGGCTTAAGAGAGCCGGGGGTTTCCAGTCTGAAAAGAGCGGGGGGGTTCGGGGGGGCGCAGCCCCCCCCATTCGCCAACCTTCCGCATCACTCATGATCAATTTTATTTTCTTCGCTTTTAACCCCCCTGAA